AGTGAATTACACGATCGTTTTTATGCTATATGCACGCTAATCTTATTTAGAAAACTATCTCTGTTTATACCACAAAAGACTCATAACAAACGCGATGAGCATCACAAAAGACTCGCATAACAAATGTGATGAGCTTCACAAAGACTTGCATAACAAACGTAATGAGTTTACAAAGACTTACATGATGAGCTTCACAAAAGACTTGCATAACTAGATTGGAATCGATGAATTTCGAACATTCTTTGGATACAAACTTACGATTTTTGAGCATCGATAAAAAATTTTGTCGTATATTCATCGAGTTTTTAAAATATTTATTTAAACAAATATTGTATGAAAACATTTAAATTTGTCAACTGTGCTATTTTGTTTATTATAAATGTTCAGAATTGCTAACAAATGCGATGAGTGGCAAAACTTTCTTACAAACGTTCAATTTAGATTTCTTACATAATAACCCAATTTAAATATAAATTAATACGATACTTAGGCTGTTCTTAAGCATCTAAATCAATTGATCAGGTAATAATCGTGATGACGCTCAAGCATCAACAATTGATGACGATATTTATATAATTAATGTTTTTCGTAATGTTCGTAATGCTCGACCTTTATCAATGGTAAATTATTGAAGAAAAAAGTGGTTTGTGTCTCTCTGATTTGTTTATCGAAATGGTAACATGCTTGAGAACACCCATAGTCAAACCCCATGATGATCCCTCAAAAATCGGACGCGAGTTTTATTTTATGAAAAAAAAAAATATTGTTCAAAAGATGTAAAGTGAACAGCAAACCAAATTAGCAAATCAAAATCGATCAGTATTGTAGAACTGCGGCTGTGGCGTTATCACGCGACCCGTAAAATCGGAGGCCGCCCTGGTCGTGTCGTGGGAAAGCTTTCCCGTGGAACTGAATCACGTGATATATGACCAATCGAATTATGGAATTTTAACGATCGCCAGCGAAACAAACAACGAAACGGTACCTCAGGTGAGTTAATTAAAAATGCTCGGAAGGCAATTTTACTTATATTAACTACCTAAAACCTAACTAACCCTAAAGTTAATTCAATAAAATTCTTAAAACTGAAAAAAAAAAAATCCGATCTTATTTGTTGATGTACGTGATAATCATTCCTCATAGATATTATACAAATAAGCTTAAATCTTTTGTACTCTTATAAAATTGTATAAATATCAAAAAAGTAACTACAAGTTTAGAACCAGCCAGATATTATTTATGTTGATTTACGGCTACAAATAGATATATATATAAGCTTTTTATTCTCAGTAATCACCAAGAGACATTGACAAGTGAACGCAGTAAATTTTTAAATAATACATCAAGATATACATATATGAAGTGTTATTTATGATATAAATAAATACGATAGTTAATGATAATCAAGACATATATGTTGATCAAACATAAATAACTTTACACATAGTCATTTGCTTTGCATTGGTACAACTTCATTAACTAGAATTCAATAATCTTTCAGTTTCTTCTGATTCCTCATCATAGTCATCAAGAGTTATATAACTATGTGGCCTGATTGTTGAATAGATAAATCCAAGCGCTAGAACAATTAAAAATGCCCATTGTGAATAGTAAAATACTACACCAAAGAATGGTGTATTTACTGTTATACGTTGAATGAACGTTGATATCGCAGTAGGAGTGCAAATATCTGATTATATAAGAATAATGTTAGTAAATTTATATATTATACGATACGGAAATGAGAAAACTTAAAATTTGCCTGTTGGTCCTTCAACATGACAAGGAATAATTAAATTCGGAAAATCAGTACAATTCCGAACACCATTGACGACATAGTTACACTAAAGGTGTAAAAAAAAAAAAAAATTCGTAAATTCGTAAGTACGAAGCAGTAAAATTACAAAAATTATTTTTCTTTTTTGCTTACGTATTTCTGGCTTCCAAACTGCGCGTACTGCGGAGCAACAACCATTGTTATCGTATAGTTTAACGCTAATAAACTTAGCATTAGCAGCAATGAGCCAAAAAGCAATCCCTGGGGTGGTGTGGCACTTTTACGAATTTTATAAAGTGTAATCCACAAGAATCGAATTCCGATAAATACAACACCGACTATAGTGCTAGCGAAGAAGTAAAGGATAAGCAAAACCATGAAAATATAATCGAGGGGGAAGTACTATAAAAAAAAAAAAAAAAGATTAATGGACAGACTAATAAAGGTGTATACACGAAGAACGTAGTTTATAAATGTGGCATACGTGTGACGCGTTAACAAAAATAAAATTGAGAGGATTAAATATGTTTGGGTGACTGATTATGTATCCACAATTACTTCCACAGATCGAATTCTTGATTTTGTCAATACTAAATTTAAAATTAAAATTTAGAGTTTGGAATGTTAAAAATGAATGACATATTATCATTGCTTACCAAGTCAAAAACATCGAAAGAAAGACCATTATAGTCAATAATAAAAACAAAACGCCGCCCAAAAACTGTTAATGGATAAGATGTAATGCATAAATTTTTCCATAAATTACAAATAATACCTAAGAATAAAAATTTTAGATAAATGGACATACCTCAAATGGTCTGAAAATCATAAGAATCTTGTTTAATATTCCTGTTTTGCTTGCTTCATACGCATGCAATCGCCGCTCCAATATTCTGGAAAAACAAAGGAAAGTATTGTTTAATTAAACTACAAGAATAACTCGGGAATTATTATTAACCAGGTAAAATTCCCACCCAAATTTTGTTCAGCTCGTGTGATATGATTTTAATGTGCATCGTTTCATTATATCATTCTAAATAAAAATGACCAATGAAATGATGTTCACTAGAATCATATCACATGGTCTGAAAAAAAATTTGGTGGTGATGAATTTTATCCAGTTTTATTATTATAAGCTTACTTTTCCTCAGTAACCAAGCGTTCTAGCTGCTCAATATCTTTTCTAGCCATTTGTTGATTGGAATCATGATATTTTGTGTTTATAACTCTTTGTTTTTCACGATTCACTCTGAGACGACTTTCAATGTCAGAATCCAATTGATCGGATTGACCAGTCCCTTTTATCATTCTAATTGGAAGTAATGATAGTCCGGGAGCCTTTCACAAATATGTGTGAATATCATTAAATACAGAAATATGAAAAATAGTTGGTAAAAATATAGAAATCACGTGAACTTACAGTGTACACAATAAAAATGATCATTCCAATTATCATAAGAATAGCTATAATGAAAGAAATACTGTTTTCGCCAACTTAAGAAAAAAATGCAAATATATTTATTCACCTGATATAATAAACAATTTATCATGATGAAAATATATGATTAATGAACTTACAAGTTCCAGTTAGGAATTTTTTGAAAAAATCCATATCTACTGGTATTTTTTTATCTTTGGGCTGTGCAATAATTCCAACTGTGAAACAAACCAACATGAACGCCACAAAAAAACAGGTGTATTTTAAGGCACCTAAAATGCGCTATAAAAAAAAAAAAATAAGATTGAATGTTCTTTTGGCATGTTAAATTAAACATATAATTGAAGCTCACCTGATGATTTGATCCACCCTCCTCATATTCTTCAAAATAGAAATAAGCGAATGGAATCACGAATGAAGAGAATATAGCAATCAAACCGTACATTCCTATCATAATTCGATTAGTAATTCCGTAATTATTATTTACCACAATGATTGCTTAGCCTTTAAATTCGACTTCTAACCAATTTATTAATTATTACCATAATAAACAGCATTTATTTGATTTAAAATACTTTGGACTTGATCTTTAGTAGCCCAATCATGCTTTAAGCCAGTATTTAAATTGACCGTTGAGGATACTAAAAATATATCTACAGGAAATAATGCTATTGCACTTAAACACAGCGTTAAGGAGACAATCGTGACACATGTAGCTAAAAGTTCACTATCACGACGGTCTTGGTAATATTTTGTGAACAAGAAGCTAAATGCGAATAGAACCTAAACACATAATATAAGATAATAATAAGAAAATATATTAACGTTAATAGCTGAAGTGAAAGTAAAGTGAGGAAAAAATTGAACACTTAAGTGTCAGTGTATCTACTTACACCAATAATGATAATAAAAGCTAACCATGCTCCTGCAAGTGCTGCCATTGCATTTCTCTCTATAGGGTATAAATTCAGA